AATTATAACATTACACGTGTGAAGAAGTAATAAGTTAACGAAACTCTACTAACTCGTTTGTAACAGTGGATTTCTTGTTTGTTCTAGCTCATCTCCAAAGGTTGCATAAACTATAATCACTAATCTGTGTTTGTCTGTTTTGTCTTCTATACTTATCCGTGCCTAATTGCCACTAAAACCATATATATCCATGTGAAATAATTGCCTAAATAATGTTTTCCTATTGGTAGTGGCTAACTAAACTGTACCTACCATAATTATTACTAAAAAAACTAAACTTACCGATCGTAATTAGTTACCTATAAATCATACTCACTAATATCGTGTAGTTATACAAACTGTACCTACCCTTCAGCACTGATTAATTAAGCTGTATTTGCTAATTTGTATCAGTTAACTCATCTGTTCTTCTTACCCTAAGCTATACTTTCCTGTTTTCCATCTCTAATAATTACATAACATCTTCGACGAAGAATGATCAAGATAGTTTTGAATACTTATTATACTTAGTCCAGTTTGGATCTATAATCTTTTTTTTAAATGATTTTAGAGCAAAACCACATTAGCTATTTGCTGTGTCTGCTGGATAAATATCCATTCTCTTACATTGAAGCCACTTCAATATTATATGAATTTTCTCATTTTGCGGATTTACAAGTATTTTATTTAAATTTTCAGCATTATTTAAACAGTCAACATCCTCAAGTTCGGTTTACCGTTGAACATAAACAAGAACAGAAATTACTTTTCTAAAACACTCTAGCTTCTAATAGTCAACAATACTTTAAAGTAGATGTTTGTCATAAACCCTTTTATTCTGGTTTATACTCATATTTCTTAAATTCCATACTTAAAAGTTTTAAACGTAATCTCGTGAATATACTTATCACCAGAGCTTTTAAAATAGCTAGTTACGAATTTGTCTACTGACTTGCAACGAAAGAATCTAGGGTTCGATTGTCCGCGGTGAACACAACAGGTAGATCAATGTGGCTCTGCTCCATAAACAAACACAAGAAAAATGAAACTGTATCAAAAAGCAATTAATACTTATTGACTTGCAACTAAAGTCCATCTCACAGCTGATGCAATAGTAAATACACAAACTTACAAACCCTCCGATTAAACGGTTCTGACGGTATTTGTGCCGTTAGTACTTCCATATTTAGAAATACGTAATAAAACCATCAAATTCACTATAACTTTGTGTTCACATGAATTGATTAAAATTTCGACATACTTATGTATATATATATATATAGAGAGAGAGAGAGATCAGATTCCGAAAGGTCAGCGTGTTCTCGTTTTTCATCGATTTAGTTACCCATAATACTTTGAGTCTTATTTTAGAAGTTCCACCAGATGGCTGCAAACTTGAGGCAGCAAGCACACAAGACTCTGCAGCTCAAATAGACGAACCTAGTACACAGTCTCTAATCTCTATACTGAGGATGACGTTGCAACGTCGAAACATGTAGAGTCAACTTTTTGAAGGCCATAGATAAGCCTAAATAAAATG